CAGCCATGTAGAAAGTCGACGCTGAATAAGCCGTGTAATACGCCGCGCATGGCAGACAACGAAGCACCGATGTGACGCGCGCCCGTTGCGTTTTTCCTCCTCCTCTCGTCGCCCATGACCGCCATCGGTCGCGCGATCTCCCAGGCGATCGCGGGAACGCAAAGGTCGCAAAGGGCGGAAATCCCTTGGGGATCGCGGCGAGCCCTCGACGAGTTGCGGCTTTCCGTCGGACAGCACGCAGCCTGCTTCGCGCCCACCGCAATGGGAACACGGCCATGCTCGCCTGCGGGGAGGAAGACGATGACGACGACGACAACGACGACGACGACGACGACGACGACGAAGAAGAAGAAGAAGAGGAGGAGGCAGAGAAGGGGGACCCGGCGACGTTACCAAATCACTATGGCGTAACATTTTGCTTATTCACGTTCGATTATACAATCTGGCACACTTTTACTCGCAGCGCGGCGCACCGCGCTCCTCCGCGGCACGCCTCGGGCCGTTCGCCGCGGAGCGAGCGCGCGCGGTGTGTCGCCACCGCTCCTCCTCGCCGAACTTCTCTCCTCCGTCTCCCTCCGCCCCTCCCCCTCCGAGCGCCGCGCGAACTCTACCCTCTTTTCTCGAAATAGAGAAGGAACGCGATCCAAAAAGATTCACCTTCCGCCCCTCCCCCTGCGACTCGCTTCCTCCCGCCGTTCCCTCCCCTTTTCATCTTCTTCTTCTTCCTCTTTTCTTCCGGTTCCTCTCCAGGCTCTCCGCGGACTGAAGATCCGGCCGGAAGGAGCAGGAGCGTTTTTAGCTACCAGCTACTTCCGCGAGCTCTCGCGGCTCAAAGAGAACCGCATAATTGGTCCGCACGTCGACGCGTGTCCTGCGTCATCTTGAGCGGCGCGCTTTTTGAGCCATCGTCCAGGACGAGGTTCCCGGGCGAGGGGGCAGCGAGACGTGGAATTTCGCACGGCCGTTGGAACGAAATTACGATTGTCGTTGCGCATCGATCGCGCCTTGCGTTTTTTGCGGCCGAAGCTTTACGGGCTAATCAACAGTCTCCGCGCGAGCACGCGCGGCGCGAAAAAACGGCCCGCGGCGGGCCAACGCCAGTTCTCATCAGGGCGTTCTCTTATTACCGCGTCTCGAGCAGCCGCAAATTACGGCCGAACGCGGCTGTTAACGCCGCGACTTTTCCGTCCGGCCGAAACGATGCGCGTCTCTCGAGAGGCACGTCGTAAAAAAAAAAAAAAAAAAAAAGAAGAAAAACAAGGTTGAATGCGGCCACGGTGCGGCGACGGCACGCGCTCGCGGGAGATACTTTCAATTAGGGAAAGTTCGATCTCATTGTCGAGCGCCAGCGTGGTGGCAATTGCAGCCTACGATGGTAATAAAACGCAACGAGTGTTGGCCGCTTCCGCCCGATGCGCGTCTCTCCATCCCCCTTTGCCCCTCTCACTCTCTCGCTCTGTCGCTCTTTCCCTCCGCCCTCTTTATCTTCTTCCCCTCGCCGCCGCCGCCGCCGCCACCGGTCTTCGCGCGGCGATAATTGATACTCGGCGCTCTCGCACGCGGAGAGAATTTCACCGCGATTTTACGTCCAAGCGCGCTTTTCACTTCTCGGCTCGTCGCTCGGCTCTCCGCCGAGTCGAGGCAACCTTGGCGCCGATCCGAGCGCGCGGCTGGTCTCTCTCTCTCTCTCTCTCTGGAAATCACGCGGTGGCCAGGTGCAACCCCGACGAGATCAGCTGTCGGTTGACGCGAGCCCGCACAAACCGGCGAAAAGCCGCCGCGCGAGAGATCGCGGTCCTGATTAATCATGCCGCACGACGCCGTGCAGCCTCCCCCCTGCCCCCTCCCCGTCGCGGCTGCTGCGACTCACATGGTCCCGTAATTAATTTCTGCGAACACTTGCCCTGTGCAGCGGTGGCCCGAAAAGCCCCGATGATGACCACGCGACCCGGTGACCACCCCCATCCTGTTGCGAGGCGTTCGTCCTTGATTTCAGGACCGTCCAACTTGCCCGATCTCGCTTTTCCGACAGATCGAGCGTGGTCTCCGTTCGATTTTGCCTTGCGAAACGAAGAGATCAGATGGAAACTCGCGCTAGCTTCCATCATTCGCGAATCTCTGAGGAGCAAGCTGAGGATCTCCGGATTGCCGGATAGATTAACAGCTTGACGGAAGCCGAGAGGAAACGGATGGTAAGAGTCTTTCACGGGAAGCCGCATTAACGATAGAAATCAACAGTAACGCGCGACGAGCAATAGAAGCGCAGCGCTGAGAGAAACGGAGAAGTCGGATGGAGGGAGGGAGGAAGGAAGGGAGGGAGGGAGAGAGAAAGAAAAAGAGAGAGAGAGAGAGAACTGCATCTCCCAAGATCCGCGTGCGGCTGCAAGAGAGCGGAGACGGAGAGCCGCTTTGGCGGCAGGAAGCAAATCTGGGCCGTCGAATCGGAGAACGGCAAGTGGGTCACGAGAACGAGACGCCACGGAGGTGTCGGCATAGCCGTCATCGTCATCGTCGTCGTCGTCAACAGCGAAGACTGCAGCGCGCGTCTTCGTCAGAGTCGCGAGCGATCGCTCTCCTCGCCGAGTTTTCCGCGGCGACGGGGCGAATCCTTTCACTTGGCATCTGCCGCCGAGGGGAAGTCGTTCTCCGTCGCAGTTTCGTTTTAGACGCACTAGATCGCGACGTCGTCACTTCCTGCTTTCGTTCGTTCGGTCGAGAAACTCGGCCCGAGTCCGCGCGGTCTCGCGACAGCGACGTTTTCCGAGCGCGTCGCGCGTGAGAATTGCGCGGACGCGTTTACGTCTCTCTCTCTCTCTCTCTCTCTCTCTCTCTCTCTCTCTCTCTCTCTCTCTCTCTCTCTCTCGTTGAATCTTTTAACAACGTTTCCTGCGCCCTGGAGAATTGTGCCGGGTCGTCGTCGTCGTCGCGGGGATAAAACGATCCCTCGCCCGCTCGGAGAAGCGCCGGAAGTCTGCGGGATTAATTCCTCGTTGCCGTTCTCTGTTATATTTTAGCGAACCGACCGGCCGAATGCGGAGTGCACCTCTCGACATCGCGCAAACAATACATCGCGAATGCGCCACGTCGTGTGAAAATAGCGCAGGAAGCTGCGCGCGGAGCGCCGCTTTGACTGAAAGGCCGGTCAGCGTCCATATATTTGGAAAGCTGTATAAATTTATCAGCGAGCCGGCGCGCGGTAATATAAGGCAGCGCGAGTGTAAAATAAGAGAAAACTGTCAGTGAGCCGCCACCTAAATTGACACAATTGGTGCGCCCGAGGGGAGAGAGGAAGGGAGGAGGGGTGGAATTCGTTCCCCCGTCTATTTCGAAAATATGCGCGAGCAAAAATTCAACTCTCGGCGAAATTGGTATCGCATCAATATACATTCTCGTATCTCGTTCGCTATTTTATTTTCAGCCGCCGCGCGCGCGCGCGAGCCCAAAGAGAGCGAGAGCGCGGGCGGGCGGGGGGGGGAGGGGAGGGGGAGAGAGCGAACGGCTGGGTTTTCAAGTTTCCGCGGGATCCAAAGTCAAATTATTACCGATAAAACTGTCGCTCGTAACGTTCTGCCTCTTTCCCCGCTTTTTTTTTTATCCTTTACGCCAGTCAGCCTTCGCGGTGCGCTCCCGTGTTATTAATTGACGAGAGCATCAATATTTCCTAATCGCCGGTCCGATGGCGAATTAATCTCGCGCGTAGTTCTCGTACATTCGCGGAAAATCAAATATTCTCGCATCGGTCGGTCGGTCGGTCGGTCGGTGTGGCGGCTTTTACGTTGGCGTCCAATATAAAAAGCGACGTCTTGCTTTCGCGGCGGGATTGCTAAATCGCGCACGACATCGTCGTCGTCGTCATCGTTGTACAACCTCCTCCTCCTCCTCCTCCTCCTCCTCCTTACGCTCGCCCGCCCGCGTGAATCGTGAGCCGTCAAAAGCGAAAATATTCCGCGTCTGGTTGGACGACGGCGATCGAATCGATATCCACCGGGTCGAAATAAACTCTCGGGCTACCGCGAGAGCCGTTACGTCACGACGATCCGGTCCTCAGATGCCACCGCGAGATACCGAAATCACTGTTTCATCGAGTATTCGCCTCCTCGTCCGCCCCCTTCCCCCCTCCGCCTAACCCCCTCCGCCCGGCCGATCGATCGCGATGAGAACGGAGATACATCTACTATCGTCGAAATTGCCGATAAGTAAACGAGGTCAAAGAAAAGGCCCGCCTCGTTGGTAAGTCTACCGCACTAGCCTGGATCCGTGTTTGCTGGAAATCTATTTCGATCGCTATCCGCCCGTGCTACCATATACGGGGTGATACGTGAAATTTTGAAAGCCTCGGAGAGCCACACACGCGCTGGCGCGCTGCTCGTCGACGATTATGTATCGCCGGGTGCGTTCCCCGAGTCTCGTTGGAATTCTGGGATGCGACGTTTATCCCTCCCCACCCCCCCGTCCACCCCATTTCTCCCTCATCTTTCCCTTCTTTTTCTATTTCGCTTTTTAATTCCCGCCGTTCAACGACGGCCGGCGAGCCGGCGACGGAATTTTAACGAAGCGCCGACGCTCTCAACGTCCGCTGAATATCACACGCGCGGCTCACCACGAGAGACCGATCGTCTTCCTCCAGATCTCAGCGGAGAGGCACAACCGAGAGGCCGTCTCACACGCTACCTACGCTACGCCCGTGACCCGGGAGAACCGTGTCGACGGATTTCGAGAGAGCGCGCGGCAATTTTCGAGATTGCCGCCGCGAAGTATCGGCGACGGTCTGTCGCGTCGCGTCGCGTCGCGTGGAGAGCCGCGGGGCCCCCAAGGGGCTCCACCCACTTTTTCGCCCTTACACTCGACTTCGTTGCTTTGTTACTCGCGCGCAATCAGCCGAAATGGTGCGATTAACGGCCGACGTGGGAAGCCTCGGCCGCCTCGCCTCGCCTCGCCGCGCCGCGCTGTCGCGCTGCTTAACAAGTTACAGGGTTAGAGAGAGAGGCTCAAACACTCACGTGCGGATGGCTGACGGTAATGCAAGTGCTGCAGACTCTGCGTTTGATGGTGATGATGGTGGTGGGGCGGCCCCATCGCCGGACCCATGGTGTGGTTGCTGTGCTGATGGTGCGGCGAGCTCCCCCGGTGCGGGTGGAACTGGGAGGGATGATGCTGATGAGGATGATAGGAGGGCGGCAGGAAGCTCGCCGTCGACTGGTACACGCCGGGGCTGTGGCAGGCCGATCTGCCGAGCGCTGTTGTCGGACAATCGATAGAGGCGCGCGATAAGAAAACGTCCGTTTAATTGCCTGTCTGGCGCGAGCGAGCGGCGCGGAAATCGCGCGCCGCGCGGCACGCTTGCTCCCGCAGATTAGCGACAAGAAGACAACGGCCAGGCGCGCGCGACAATGGAGAACGAAAGTTCGATCTCGTGAGGCGGACCGATCCGGCATTATCCGATCCGGATTAATCGGCAAGACCGATCCGTCGCGTCGGAGCGATCGCGCGCACGCTTCTTCGCGGGGAGAAGAAGCCGGTCGCGCGCGCGCGCGCGCGACTACAAACGCGAGCCGACCGCGGGAGTCCCGCAGGAGCTCGCAAAGCCAGAGAGATATCCTTCCCCCCCGCCGCCGCCCCTCGCTCGCGCCATCGCTTCCACGGTTTTACACGGCAAGCGCGCGCAGCTACGCGCCAGAGCGATACTGAGCAACGAGATAATGAGCTCACCTGACGACAAGTGAGAGTGATGAGACGCCAGGCCCGGCTGGAGGGACGAATTAGGATTGAGCCTGGCCTTCAGTAAGAGATTCGCGTCCTCGTTGCCGCCCGAGGACGTGCTGGACTCGACGTCGCTGACTCCACTGTCCGCTGGGCTCGCTGGCAGTGATCCGCTTCCTGTTTCCAGTCATGTAACAGAAAGGAGGAGGACGCGTCCTCTGTGATAAATGGCTCCCTGACGGAGTTTACGGCTGACGATAAGACGCGCGCGCGCGCGCGCGTGTGTGTGTGTGTGTGTGTGTGTGTGTGCGAGCGTCGATTAATCCCCCGCGAGATCCCGTTTCGCTCAGAGCGTCGCGGGATAAATAAGACAAAAGGTTGCGGGGTGCCGCGCATAAAAATGTCGCGAGCTCCGGGAACTGTTGTTCCTTCGCGACACCCCCTTGTCGCGGGAGGGGGGCGCAATTTGCAGGAGCCGCTTAACGAGACGAGCGAAAGGGAAAATATTTTGCGCAGTCTATTCCCGGGTAAATGACACGCCGTGCCTCGCGGCGCGGCGCGGCGCGGCGGAAGACGGCGAGAGCGGTTTTCTTCCTCGTCCTACGCGCCGAAATCGCGCCGGAATCGATGCGCCTCGATGCGCGTCCCGCGTGATTGCGAGGCGACGAGAGACGGACGAGGGAGAGATCCTTCTTCGTGTGAAATCACAAATACGACGTCGCCGGCACCGCCGATGGATTTCACTCTCGCGTCTTGCGGGCTCAAGAGGCGGTGTATGCTAATCGTTTTCGTTTTCGTTATATACAGGGTGCACCGAAATTCCTAATCTGCTCGTTTCTTTCTTCTCCTTCCTTTTTTCCGCGCGCGAGAGACCCGACATCTCCTGTCTCGCCTTTTCGAGACGGCGGCGGCGGCGGCGGCCGCTGCACATCGCGCTTTCGCGAAAACATTGTTTGTCATGGAAATTTCGCGATACTTGCGCGCGATCCTCTTGACGTCACCGAAACCCCCTCACACCTACACACACACACACACACACATTTATCGTCGGCACGTTCGCTGAAATAGCCTGCACCGCGCGCCAATTACCGAATCGCCGGCATTACGCGGACGTAATAAATGAACGAACGATCGATCGGTCCCCTTTGCCAGCCCCTAAATTAAAGCTCGCCCGTCGCTTTCGTCCGCCGCTTTAAACAAATTAGGTGGCCCATCGAGCTGGTGGTCCAGCGGCTCGTTCGGCTTTATCGAGCGCCGTCGTCGTCGTCGGGCCGCGGCCGAACGTGTTTTCGCGCGCGCCGTCAATTAAAGGCATCTTTATGCAACGGCCGAAGGTCATCCGGTCATTGGGTATGCATATCGCTCGCTCTTCCCACGGTCCCTCTCCCCCCCCTCTCTCTCTCTCTCTCTCTCTCACTCTCTCTGCGCCGCAGCGCGGCTAACCGTCTCAAACGAGTCCCAAAGGGTTCTTCCACACGAGCTCTCCTTCTCTTGTTCTTCCTTTCTGCCCCCTCTTGTCGTCATCATCGCCGTCATCGTCGCGTTATGCAAAACGCGCGATCGTGCAAGACCTGCGCGCCGCGCAAGTCGATAAGCCGCGAGTAGTCTCGCCGAATCGACCGGCGCTGCTTTTGTGCAACGGCGATCGAGTCGGTATTTTAAGAATCGACTCCTGGCCGAATTTTTCCGCGGCCGAACGCGCAACATTTCCGCCGATTTGTTCACCGCTCCCTGTCGTACAATATTTTCCGCCTCCTTCTCTCTCTCTCTCTCTCTCTCTCTCTCTCTCTCCCTCTCTCCCCCTACCTTTCCGTTTGCGCAATAACGGCTATGTGAAATCGACGCAGATCCGCGCTCCTTGTGTATCGCGCAAGGCGTGTATTTTTCGCCGTCATTGATTTTCGCGTCGTGTTACCGCCGCGCTTGTTTCGAATAAATCGCGGCCTTTCTTACCTTCTTCTTCCGACCGACTATTATTACGCGTTATTGTTCTGCGCTTCTACCCTTCTCTTGTTCTCTCTCTCTCTCCCTCTCTCTCTCTCTCTCTCTCTCTCTCTCTCTCTCTCTCTCTCTCTCTCTGTGTCTCCCTCTCGGCCAATTAGCGAGCGACTACGCGGGCGATCGACGTTTGTGCGATCAGTCGAAACGAAACGAGTTAATCGAGCTGCGATTGTCGCTTCGGCGACGAGAGCCATTTACGCGGAATCTATCGCGCGGCGAGCCAATTAACGGAAATCGGAGCTTTGTTTTACACGCTCGCAAATATCAGTCCGCGAAATCTCATTACTCCCGCTCGGATTCTCCCGCCGATGTTTCCGAGCGGGGAACCGTATCCGCGAGACATTTAGGAAGCGTCACGCTTCCCAAATGCGCATTACAAAAGCCTGCTTGGATAATTGGGTTTCCGAAACGCGGGGACGCGATGTCGGTCGGGCTCGCGTCGCGAGTTGATTCGCCCAGAAATAGATCGTTCTCCTTTAAAAAACGATATCGACGTTGCAATCAGGTTTCCAGGAGAGAAAAAAGACGCCGCATGGGGAAACAGCGAGGAAAGGGAGAGAAACTTTCTACGCGCGCGCGCGCACGTTGCGACTGGCTCGTTTTATCCCTCTCTCTCTCTCTCTCTCTCTCTCTCTCTCTCTCTCTCTCGCTCGCTCTCCTACTCTGTCTATTTTATTTACCTATGCGCCGTTTCGACATAATTTATCCCGCATTATTTCTCCCATCCGACCGCCAGTGATCCATCAAGCTGTTGCTCACGTCGCGCGTTTATTTCTCTTTGCCGCCGCTCTTCGCGTCTACGCGCGTGCGTTCCACGCTATTTATTTGCTTTATCCCGTCACGCGTTAAAACTCCATTAAAAATTCATCGGATATCTCTTCCCCGCTCGTTCGTTTCTCTCTCCCCCCTTTCCTTCTCCCCCCCTCCCCCGCCCGGACTCTTCGCATCCTTTATTTCACGCCGTTGTATTCCGCGTATCACCTCCTATCATTATCTCCGCTGCTACATTATATCCCACTTTGTCGGGGAGAAATGTATAAAAAAGAAGGAAAATTTATCATTCCACCGTGTATCCTGCAGACGATCAGCGACGAGCCTCCGCGGGCACCGACGAGGTGCCGAGGGGGCATCGGGATTTCCGAAGGATCCGCGGAGAAAAATGCCGCTCGGCCGAGCGATCCCACAATCTGAGGGATTTAGAAACCCCGTTTGAAAACTCCGTCCGAAGGGGCGCGGAAAAGTTGTCGATGCCCTGGCAGAGAATCATGTCCACTCTCTCTCTCTCTCTCTCTCTCTCTCGCAGACTCACCTGGCGTACTCGTGGTGGCGATGGCGGCAGTGGTGTAAGGCGGTTGGCCCATCTGAGCGTGACCGGCCAAGTGCCGGCCGTATCCGTTCTGCAGCCCCAGGCCGTGCTGCTGGGGATGCTGCGAGAGGATGCCATGGAGCAGGCGAGTGCCGGTGCTGCTGGTGGTCGTCGCGCTGGTGGAGCCCGGTTCCACCTTGACGCTCGCGAGACCCAGCTGCTCCTTCTCGCCGGTGTCGTGCGGCTGGACTTCCCTGGTGTCCACTGCAACAGATCAAACGAGAGGCGTCGTTTCAGCTTCGACAGGCCGGCACACTCGTAATCGACGTCCGCGCGTCCCGGGTTAGCTCGGCCGGGATTGTCTCTCCCCGACGACGACGCGACGGACAAGGCGAAGACGGATCTTTCTCCCGTCTCCCGCCTAAGAACGCTAAAGCTATTATCGTTACGAAGATACCGCTGACGAGCGAGGCGAGCCTATCAGCCTTCAGCCGCGTTAACGAGTTATCGCCGGAGAGAACAGCCAGGTGACATTATCGCGCGTTATCGGACGCCGCGGCCGACGATGTTAATCGCCCCGCCAAGCGGGCGGGAGGGGAGGGAATAATCTCGTGAATAATATGTAGAGCGGACGAGAGGCGCTGCGCGGGAAACTTCCTCCCCGTCTCGTTGAGCGATAGGTGCAATCTTTAGTGGCCGCCGCGGAATCGGCGACGCTCCTGGCCGCTCGTCGCAGTGCTCCGCCGTGCTCTGTGCAAAGTGAAGCGCCGACTTCTCTCTCGTTAACGGACGAAAAAGTGATAAACCCCGAAGAGATAAGTCATTTCCCGTGACCCGCGCAACGCGACGTCCTCTTGCCCGACCAGGTTAAGTGCCGGCTATTTGGCGTCCATTAAAAGCTCCGCGCGAACACGTCTTCTCTCTCTCTCTCTCTCTCTCTCTCTCTCTCACTCTCTCTCTGTATGTGTCTCTGTCATGTCGGCCGAAATAACGAAACGCAATCGTAGACGGATAAACACTCGGGCGGGAGCCGAGCGAGGCTAACGACGGGCCGAGGAAAAAGAGCAGGAGGATGGCAGAAGAAGGAAAAGAGACGAAGAAATATAAAAAGAAACGCCGGGGCGTACAGGAGGCGTTCTCCGCCTGGTAGCTCTCTGGCGGCTCTGGTTGCCGAGAGGAAGTGAAAGCCGGCGTCGTCTCTCCTTGACCCACTGCAACGTTTCTACCTTCCTTTCAGGCGGGTACCGAGCCGCGGCTTCATTAAGCAATTTCTCGCGGCAGCGGGCCCGAAAAATGCGCCGTGGAAAATGGCGAGCGCGCCGGCAGCGCGATCAATGAGCGCCCGACTGGAACCCGATCTATCGATCTAACTAGCCGCCCGTGTATCCATCTATCCATCTATCCATCGCGATCCGACGCGATGCGCGAAGGCTTCTCTCTCTCTCTCTCTCTCTCTCTCTCTCCTCTTCCTCTCCCTTCGGCTGACGAGGTGAGCGCGAATTCACGCTGGAAGAAGTCCCCGCTCGCTCTTGCCGTCTTCTGCGCGCGGAAGGTCGGCGGGTATCGGCGACTTCACGACGGATTAGAAAGGTACTCTCCGAGAGCGCGCGCGTGGCGGACGATCGATCGAAATAAATGTAATAAATAAATAAATAAATAGTCATTCCGCGAAGAATCGTTTTGTATCGCAATATCGCGCCCTGTTAGCGCGAACGGGCTCCTCTTGCCTTGTTGAAACAAGGTACAATTAGGGGGGAGTAAAACAAATAATAACTGATCTCGGTGGCATCAGCAATTTTTTAGTCTCTCTCAGTCCCGCCGCGGGCAGGGCTTCCCCCCCGGTGAAGTGGGTCAAGTTCTCGCAGCGAAAATTCCCCACGAGCATTTTGCGACGCGACGCGACGCGACGCGACGCGACGCGACGTGACGCGTCCGCCGGGATAATCCTCTCTCGAACGCCGATGCGCCGTGCGATAAATCGCAAAGCGGAAGAGGGAGGAGGCGCTCGCAGGGATCGACGCAGGAATCGCGTGAAAAGCCGCGGCTGTACGGCGGATTACAGGGAGCGGTGCGCGCCCGTAAACAATATTCACCTGCGCTGTGCGTGCAAATTGCACAGCGCCGCGGCTTCCTCGCGCGACACAGCCGTGACATTACAATAACGACGTTCGCGCGAGGCGCCGCGGAAACGCGACGGACGCCTCCGTGATCGGCCGCCTCTGCGAATTCCCGCGGACGATGGAATATGCATCGCGCGGCGGAGGATGACGAAAATAATCCTTCTCGTCGGCGATCGACGGCGCGCTTGCGAGAGGAAGCGTGTTTCGGACAAAAGCGACGTCGCAGTCCGCTCGGGACTGCACGCGCCTACGAAAATCAGTCACGTAGCGCGGCTGTCGCGAGTCGGAGAGGACCACTGATGTCACACACCGTGGGGCCACCGGGGCTCGTGCGTCGACTCGGTAATCGCGATCGATAAATCGGCAGATGAAGCTTTACGGCTGCCGAAGCCGAGCGGGGCCGCCCGCCTTCCCGGATCGGATCGGGGAGACAATGCGCCGATGCGGCCGGAGGGAAGGCTGCGAGGAGGAAGATGAGAGCGAAAGGGAGTACGAGGGAGGAAGAACTAGAGAGAGAGAGAGAGAGAGAGTAGAGAGACGGCTACGAAAAGAGAAGCAAAACACGCGGCGGGGAGGCGGGAGGATTGAGCGAGCGAGATTGCAACGTGTCGAGAGAGGCAACGCGCGGCAACGCTCGGCTTGCGAGCGCTTGCGAAAGCTCCCCGACACGTACTGGCGCCGGATATTTATGATTTCGCCGCGCGATCGTTCCTCCGAGATTGCAGAAAGAGAGCTCGCGAGCCGAGGGACGAGCAATTTCACATTTTACAACCGGGACAATCGAGCGCATTACGTTGCCCAAAGTGCGCGGCTCATTACTCTCGCGTGTTGCGCCGCAATCTCGCCGCGGGAGAGAGAGAGAGAGAGAGAGAGAGAGAGAGGGAGAACGCCTCCTCGCTTTTCCATCCCTTCCTCGAGACAATACGCGCCCTTGTGTCGCGGCGCCGCTGTGTACACCACCGGGCTCTCCCCGCCGTCCCCTCCCCCATCGCTGTCAATCGAGATTCTCAGAGTTATCGCACGGCGAGGCGCACCGTAATCTTTATTTTTAGAGACCCACACTGCGCGGGAGAGCGAATAGGAGACACGTTTGCGCCCGCCGAACGCCTCAAGGCTCCTCCCGGGAGGCCAGCGCGGCGTGTACCTCCCCGGCATTGTCCGGGAACGTCGTCGCGCCTCCTTCCTGCTGCATTCCATCGCGGGCATATCCAGGCCAGATGCGAGCGGTTGCTTCGTATTTTCATCACGTACGCGACATTCGGCGCACAGCGTGCTCGCTCATACTCGGCCCCACGAGAGAGAGAGAGAGAGAGAGAGAGAGAGAGAGAGAGAGAGAGAGAGAGAGAGAGAGAGAGAGAGAGAGAAGACCCGATTATCGACCAGGCCGGGCGCGACCCTCGCCCTTCTCGCTCGCTCAGCGTTCGCGAGCGGAAGGAAAGGGCCTCCGCGAGGCGAGGCGAGGCGAGGCGAGGCGAGGCGAGGCGGACGGATCCGACGTTTCGTCGAAACACGCATTTGTTGTCGCGCCTGACTATCTTTCAGCCACCGTCATCCATTTCCCGCCCTTGCCTCCGCGCTATTCTTCCTCTTCCTCTCGTGCGACGAGAGTTTCTCCGCGTAGAGGGTTTCTTCCAGCCCCCCACTCTCTCACCCGGGTGATAAACGATTATTATCACCATTGACGCCGTGATGAATCTCGCACGCCCACCGGAAGCTGGGTGGCGCGACCTTGCTTGACCTTGACTCGCCCCCGCCGCGGCATGCAGGGTGAGTGTCTAGCCGCATCGACCGAGCCGCCGTTGTCGTCGCCGTCACCGTCGCCGTCGCCGTCGGAATTTTCACGGCGTTTTCACCTTCTACGCGGCGGCGCTCCCCGGCCGTTTCTCTCTCGCAGGCGCGAGTCGACTTCCGGTGTATCGACACGTCGGCACGGTTTCACCGTAATCACCATTAGCGCCGTCCCGGTTTTCATAGTTTCTAAAAGAGCGACTCGAGAGAGAGAGAGAGAGAGAGAGAGAGAGAGAGAGAGAGAGAGAGACCCGTTTCACGAGCGCCGCGCGGTCCGGCCGTCAAAAATCACACGCGCGCATATGCACGCCTCCGATCATGACGCGTAATAACGAGAGCAGCGAGATCGCGTTATTATCAGGCCGGACGAAGAAAGCGCGCTCGAGTCAATCGCGACGACGACCAACGCGCGCCCCGAGGCTCCCCCGGTCGAGGAGGCGCCGCGCCGCTATAGGCGACTCCAAGAACAAACTTCATTATCTCAGCCGGGCACTTTCCTCTCGTGTCACGGTTTGCCCTTTTTTCTCCCCCCTCCCCTGCTCTCTTTCCTCAAGTCGCCGGAGCATTTTCACCTGCGCCACGATCTCTCCCCGCGGTCTAACGCAACTTCCACAGCGGAGCAACACGCTTCGCTCGCGCGCGCGCTTGAGGAGGGCTCGCGATCACGCGATCACAGGGTGAGCCACTTTTTCTCCGTCTGCTACTTTCCGCGACTTTCCACGAGGACAAAAATCCGCCCCCTGTCGAGCACCGCGCGCGCGCGCGTCCTCCGGTTTTTCGGCCAGCAGGAGATGTCGCAATCGCGCAACGCCACCGCGAGCGCGCGAGTTGCGTACACGTGCGTAAGGTCAGCGTTTGGCCGGGCCACGCAACTTTCTCGCGCGCACGCACACGCACGCAACGTGGCCGCCGCGGCGTGGCCGGGCATTGCGTAACGGTAACGACTCTCTCTTTCTATGTGACATCACGTGCGTCCGACATGCCGCGTCGGCCGCCGCGCGTCAGGAGCGACGCGTCCTCTTTCTCCCCTCCCTCGCCCCTCTTCCTCTCGTTTTTGTCCGCGGGTACGCAGGTATGCGCGAGCGAACGGCGACGCGCGCGCGTCGTCGGTCCGAAAAAACGGGACGAGCGTGTTATTTCGCGACGACGCTGAGACCCGAATTCGCGCATTTCGCCCGCGGCGATCACGTCACTCGGCGAGGATCAGGCGAGGGTGACGCGGAAAACAGAGGCGCTCTGGTTTGCGCGACCGACGCGACGGGATGAGGAAGCACCCTCCGGCCGAGCGATTTCGGACACCTCGCCGAGTGTGATGGCGCTCGCAGACGGCGCGGCGGCTCGTCAATGAGAATAACT